GGTGATGATGATGGTAATGATGATGAGTGTGTGCGTGTGATGACGATGATGGTGGTTGATGGTGATGATGATGGTGATGATGGTGAGTGTGAGAGAGAGAGAGAGAGAGAGAGAGAGAGAGAGAGGAAAGGGGGTGTGTGAGATCCTGCGCGGCGTGTGCAGAGAAAACAAGAACCCCACTTTGGATGTGGGGAAAAACAACGCACGAAACCAAAAAATACAGGAAATGGACGTCCGAGCGATGGCCAGTGGGGCCTTCCACTAGAAATCGTCAACTCGTACATGCACTGATCCAGCTCCGCCACCCGTCCCCGCTGTAGAGGCCCTTGGAGCTCGTGTTGGTCTCAGGCTCGAGATGACTTCGGGTTCTCGATCAGCCAAGCTCCACCGTGGCGTCCTTGTACTTCGGCGACGGCCCTCACGAAACGGAGCAAACTTCGATCCCGGAGCTGTCGCTCTCGAACTCGCTGTTGGTCCTTCTGAAAGCACGTCAGGTTGCTCCAGGGGCTGCAGGGAAACGCCATCACCAGCAGCCTCGGCTTCTCCAGCTTCAGTTCCCACAGCACCCCCTGCGGCGCTTTGGCGACCTCAAATCATCACCAAATTCCAGTGAGTAGCTCCTCATGTCGTACAGCTTCCTTCGTGGTGAGGATCTCGCAGACCCAGGGCGGACTGTCGGGCTGCTCCGTGACGATAGCCTCGCATTCGGCCTCCCACGTTTCGACCGTTGACACGAGCTCCATGATGTAGGCCTGGGGCTCAATATTCAGTGCCGTCATGCCCTTCCGCCAGGATTGCAACTGATTCTTCACCAGAGTCCTTGTGCCGTTCTTTATCTTCTCCACCGTCGGCATCGGCTCGATGACATGAGTGAAGTTCCCCTCCTTCTCGACCTTGAGGGGAACCCCCCCCATGGACAGCATGGCTTCAAACAGCCACTTCGAAAGTGAAGAGGGTCCACGAGCTGACCTGTTTCGAATGTCCAAAGGCGGCGGACGGGGGACCGCATCCCGTCTCGGCGCACTTCAGTTCGTTCAGAGCACCTCGTCATGTGCGCAAGCAGCCGTCCTCAGCCCCAGGACGGTCCTGAGGTCCGGGCCCGCCTCCGTCGGCCCCCGGTGCCCTCGAATGCAGTCCACCAGCCGACTCTTGCTCTTGTGGCCGATGGGGGGGCAGGGCCTGCATCCGCCTCCTCGTGGGCACCCCCGTTCCCGTCGAGCTCGGAGCGCCGGGAGCAGGGCCTCCGGCCCGGCCAGCCGTCCCGGACGCACTCGGCGAGGATGAGTCCCCGACGTTGTCGGGGGCGGAAAAGAGGGGGGTGATGACTAGGGGGGGTGGATCTCATGGCGGGGGTCATGATATTTCCCCAGATTTCATGGCGCCTCTTCTTATTTCACTGCGTCCCTGGCCCCCCCCGCTGGGCCGAGGACATGCCGTCGGTCATGTTTTGCACCCCCCCCTCTTGGACACCCCCCTCTTGACCGCTCCCGAGAGCAGGGCCTCGTCTTCCTCGCGGGGCGTCCTCCTCCTTTGCGGAGCTCCCGCGTCCACCAGTCGATCCACCAGCGCGCCTCTGGGCCCAGGTGCGGGGCCTTCGGAGTGTTCAGGAGGGGAAGAAACACACAGGCACGATTAGTGGTCGATTCCCAAGAGAGTCTGGGAAAACATGGGAAGTGGGGGCGGGGAAGACAAAAACCCAGAAAATACGGGGCAATATGGGGGATCCTATTCTTTGTGTGTATCTATTTTTGTGTGTCCCGGGGCCCCTTCAGGAATGTCGAGGACCTCGGCCATGTTGTTTGTGTGTCCCAGGGCCCCTGCAGGAGTGTCCAGGACCTCGGCCATGTTGTTCAGCACTTCCCTGGGGATACTCCGCAGCGGTTCTCGAGCACACGGCAGCGGGCGAGGCACTTCACCAGGATCGGGTTGCCCGGGGTTCGAAGTACAGCCTTGTGATCGTGTTCCTCGGGCGGTCCAGAGTCAAGCAGTGGCGAAGCGTCCTGGCTCGCCTACAGCCCCACCAAACAATGTTCTAAGAACATTTGGTGGTTTCCACGAAATGTTCTTAGAACATTGTTTTTGTTCTTGGAACATTTTTGGGTTCTAAGAGCATTTCGTGGTAGGACTATAGAAATGCTGGGACGGTCGGTCCCTGCTCAACAGAGGCTCGTGCAGGTCGTCATTTGTCAGCCCCTCGACCCGGTGCAGCTCTTCGATGATGTCCCCCGCGTCGGCGCAGAGCGTCTCACGCGCCCACACTGTGATCCGCTTGGGCCCTTCGCGATTCGAGGCCTCGGGCGCCCGGGCGTTGTTGTCTTGGCGCTCCCAAGCTTCCAATCCGCACACATCGATACCTTCCGAGCCGTCATCATCTCGTTCGTCTGGCATGTCCCCGTCCCCGTCGTCGTCGTCGTCGTTGTTCGGTACCAGGTGACTCCCAGCGTCTTGACGGGCATCCGATTCGCGTGGTCCCCCTCGGATCGTCATCAGTGCCTCGTTGATCTTAGAACGAACTTGGAACACCGCCTCGTTCAGCGTTGTCGTGACTCCCACGGGTTGCTTCAGCCTGCATGTGGAAACACGGGGATAGCGTAATGGCCACCCTCGGTTTCGCCCAAAGGCGTCGTCGGGATGCCGAGCTTCTGAGACACAGTCGAGTCGGATCCGAAATCGATCGCCACGCCCATGGCTCTCAACGCATCCTTGCCGATCAGCAACTGCAAAACCGATCCTTTTATCACAGCGAACGTGAGCAACGCATCGACGCCGAAAACAGTGACGGAGACCGTCCACTTCTCCGTCGACACTTGCTTCTCACCGTCGCCAAACCGGAAAGCCGCGTACTGCTCCTCTTTATTGATGCTCCGCTCGATCCCCAGCTTCCGACAGTGGTCCTCCAGCCGCTTCGCATAGGCCTCGCCCGCAACGGTGCTATTACAGTCGGAGTCGAGCGTTCCCTTGTCGCCACTTCCTTCACCTCGGGAACCACGGGCACCTCCTTTTTCGTCGCAGCCCGCATCGTCACTAGGGCCTCGAACGTAGTGAGCTGGGCCGCCACCAGGGCGTCGTTGGCCTCGGTCGTGTTCAGGAGGTCCACCACCATCGCATCTCTTGGCTTGGGCAGGCCCTGCTGCTGCTTCTTCATCTGGTCGGCCTTCACATTCCTTCGGCTTCGGACAGCAGGCGTCTCCAGCCCAGTGGTCCGTCTGCTTACAAGCGCAGCACTCCGTCGTCTTCTTATCACTGGCATTGGATTTGCGCGGCGATGGAGATCGTCGAACCTGCTGCCGCTGGAACTTGCACCTTTGGGGCTGCCCTTGCCACCGAACTTCCGGTCCTTCCGCAGCTCCTTCACTCGCTTCTTGCTCTCACGCACCGTGATGAGTCCCTCCATCATGGATTCCACGCCGCTCTCGAGATTGGCTAGCGCCAGGACCAACTCCAGGTCGCAGTATCGTCGCCAGCGCCTCCATCTCGGTCGCAAGAATGCCGTCGAGATCGACCTCCGTGGCCTCCAGCGCCTCCTCTACCGGCAGGGAGTCCTCCCCGCCACCCTCGTTCGCCTCTAGCTCCAGCGCCAGGGCCTCGAGCTCGCCGTTTTCGAGCTGGCTCACGCCATCGAGGTCCACCGTGATGCTCGCCTCCTTGAACTTCTTCACGATCTTCTTATTCTTCAGCATGAACCTCGATGGAGACGGCCTGTTCCTGTCGAACATCCGGTCACGGCGCTCGGTGCTATGCAGCGTGGGAAACACTCGGTGCATCGCCGGCACGACATCCTTGAGCTCCATGCTTCCGCCTGTGGAGGTCATCAGCATACTCTTCTGGGCTTCTGTCAGCCCAATTTTCTCGATCAGCCACCAGCCCGCTGTCTTCGGAGGTAAGGTCACGTCTTCTTCGTCGAGCTGGCTCCGCGCTGCACCGAACCTGATCATCCAAGCGTTCATGTCCTCTCCTGCACGTCTGTGCAGGGTCTTGGAGAAATACGTCATCACCTGGCCACGTCGACTTGGTTCGTCTACCCCCACCGTCGACAGCACCTCCATCCGACGATCGATGCCCGCCATGTGGTTGGGCGGCTCACAGTGGCCGTACTCCTCCTCCTCCTCCTCCTCCTCCTCCTCCTCTTCCTCCTCCTCCTCCTCGTCAGCGTCGTACTCGCCGTCGCCACGCCCTGCTCGAGCCGTGTCCTCCACCCACGTCCAGGGCTTGGCGCGCAGATCCTCCGTCGGGATCGAGTCACCTAGGGTCTTCGCCGGCCCAGTCAAGCACCTCACCATTCGTGCCGCCCAGGACCAGCTCACGTCCAAGTTGATCCCCTCGATCCACAGGGCGACGTCCTTACGATACCTCCTCCAGCGAGCCGCGCTTTCATCCCACGAAGGAATGCCCTCGAGCTCTCGGCTCCACTGCGGTCTGGCCGCCGCATACGTCGTCGGCGAGCGATGCCAGCCGCCGTGTCCGCAGGAGCCGCCATAGCTTCTCGGAGGCAGCGCGTCTGGACTGAGCACGCCCGTGCCCATGGCGGGCCTCCTCTCCGCGGACGGTGTCGCTCTGCCAAGCGCCATCCTGCTGGTGGTGATCACGACCTCGTCGTAGAAACCGTCGAACTTGCCAACGGCTTCGCGAAATCGAAGTCTCAGCCAGCAGCCTGCACGCAATAGATCTGTCGCGCCTCAGCGCTCCGCTACCGCTGCGGAACCGATGGGTTCATGCCGATCCTTCCCCCCCAGCTCCACAGTGGGATATGGCGGCGAGCGCGGCAGCGCTGAGGGAGGATTGAGCTCTTTTGTCGGTATCCACCAACGCAGCACAACAAGCCTCAAGCTGGCTCGTATCCGAAATGGCAGCAGGCGAGAACATCAATGTACAGCACATGTGGGGAGAGGGGATGAGTAGGGACAAACAGGGACAGGGGATGAATCTGACGCCACAAGCCAAATACACGAGCAAGAGACGCGTTTCTTTCAACAGCTTGTGCCCTCTCCCGTGCTCGGCAGGAGCGGCGCTTCCAGGAAGCCCAGTGCCGGCCTGTCAACAAGCGGAACTACTGGATACGATCCCCGTCCCTTTGGTCTTTGCTTGGGGTGCTAAGGAATTACGGGCCTCCCTCCCTCGTCGTCATCGTCGTCCTCGTCGTCCTCGTCGTCGTCGTCGTCGTCGTCGTCGTCGGCGGCGTCGGCGTCGGCGTCGTGGTCGTCGTCGTCGTCGTCGCCGTCGCCGTCCTCCTTTCCCTTCCCCTCCCCTCCCTTAGGTTACATCTCTTGGGAGGTTGCAGTCAGCATCGTCGCTGGTATTTCCTTGGGCCTGATCCAGCCGAGTCCAGCACAGCCTGGCTTGGTCCCGATTGGTCTCGCTTGATGCGGCTGACTCTGATGCCCAACCTGGTCCAGTCTGGCGGAACGGCCCTGCACTCGGGCTCAGCTAGCCCGCAATCGTTCCCGCTGAGACCAGGAATTGCCTCCTGGCCTCCCCCCGCGCCTCCCTCCTTGCCTCCCCCCCCTGGCTCGCCGGGGTTTCAAGCAGAGGTTGAACGGGTGTCGCCGCTTGCCAGCTCATTGTCGGTGTGTGCGAACGACGTGATCGGATCACGGCTTTGGGCTGCTCCTGTCGTTAGTGCCTGCCGTGGTGAGTGCTCGTTCACGTGCGCCGTGCGCGTTCTGTGGATCGGCCGCGCCTTTTCGCGGGACGCCGTGCGCGGCTTGCGTCTGCGGTTGTCATGGTTTCCTGCGATGCTCGGGCGCGCCGTCTAGCTTAGACGCCACACTTCTGCCCCCCCCCGCTTTCTGCCGGTGTTACACCCGGCCCGCATAGTGAGGATGAACACCTTCCTTCCCCTTCGGCCCATCCTTGGCTGCTTCCGCTGGGCGGCGCCCCGCTCGCAGAGTGTCGCCATGGCCTCCCAGGCCCCCTTTTATATCCTCATCGTGCGCCCACGTGGGGCGGGTGGACTGTGAGCCAGACGGCGCCAAGTCTCCGCACGACCTGCTTCCCTCGCGCAGCCCGGCTGCTCCATGGCCCGCCGCACCTGCCTTCGGCGAGGCCCCCCCCCCCCGCCCACCCCGCGGCACGCGGGGCGGCGCGCGCGCCCCTCGCACGATGAGGTGTGCGTGCGGCTGCCGTTCCGAGGTCCTGCGACCTCGGACGACGCTCGGCGGCGAGCGAGGGAAGGTGGGAAGGGGAAGGCCCTCTCAGAGGGGTGCGTGGCTTCCGGCTTCTGAGAAGGCCGCTGGCCTCTGAGAGCTTTTTTGAGCGTGTATCTTCGGGCAAGGTTTCGAACACCTCTCAGACGGCTGGGGGACTTCCGAGCCTTCTGGGAAGGCACGCCCCTTCTCACTTCCCCCCCTCGCTCGCCGCCGAAGCGCAGGTGAAGACTAGCCGGGGGGGGGGGGGTCAAAAGAGTGTTCGACGGCGCGACTGGGACCTGCCTCCCAAGAGCGGTGCGACAAAGGGTCCGATATCGATCCCCCCCCCACAGTCTTGTTTGGCGAGGCCCGTCAGACCTCCCCAAAGGGAGACCCCGGGGCGGCCAAAGCCGAGGTGTGCCGTGCAGGCGCTCAGGCGGCACGTCGGGGGCTCTCAGCTTGGGCCGCCGCAGCGCGGCTCGCAGGCTGGAGTGCGCGGCGTGGCCGCAGTGCGCTGGGGTTTGGGCCGTGCTGCGGAGGTGTTGTCCCTTATTGGTTTCCGACGGGTGCGTTCGCGGTCTCAGTGCGTACGCGCTCGGGTGTGAGGGCCGATCGCGTGCTGGGTTATTTTTGGTCGATCTCCCTGGCGAGAGAGGGGGCGACCACGAGCAACGTGGTCCCGGGAAGTTTGCAGGCATGCCTGCGAAGCAGCTGGGGGTGTGGAGGCCCTTCCAGCGCTTTGGCAGGACACCATTTCTTCGGCCACGGCGTGGCATGTCGCAGTCAGCAAGTATTGCGATGCCACGTGATAGTGGCTATGTGCTCATGTGCGTTTCGTACTCAGCATTTGCTTGCTTGCTTGCTCCTTGGCGAGAGTGTGATTGCGATGAAAAGGGCTTGTTCTTTGCCCTGTGGGATTTCGATCCGTCCAGCAGAAGAAAGCAAGAGGTGGAAGCGAGACGACGCGACATGAGGAGAGCGAGGGGAAGGGAGAGGGACGCAGTGAGGGGAAGTGTCAACCGACCAGCGTCATCTGCATACTGCTCGCAATCTCGGCGCTGGTGGCATCGCCAGAGCCGGTGGCACCTCCGATACTTATGTGTCCTAGGCATCGACAGCATCTCTGGCATGTGAGCTTGCTGACAGGTGAACCTTCCGATGCCTCTGGACTAGCTTACATCGTTCCCAAAGCAGCCTTGTTTTCGCATCCTCGAGCTGAGATTCTCTGGCGTCCTTGATACTTCCGCTGCTCCCGAACATCGGAGTGGCCGCTCAAGGGCGAAAGCCGCTCAAGCAGTCTGTCAGTTTCACATTCCAAGAGTCGTGCTTACATCAACAGGACCCCAGGCTTGTCTAATACCAGCCCTATCTTTGCAGCTGACGTTGTGACGATTTGGGGAACGAGGGAGGTATCGGCGTCGCCAAGGTCTTAGGAATACATGGAGCGAAGCGCAGCAAGGGGTGCAAACAGGATTAGTTGTTTCAGACACCCTTGGTGTTCTTTGAGGGTTTGAGGGGTCTGCGGAGGCTTGTGTCATATCGGGCGACTATGCACAATCTTCGACGACGTCTGGAGGCATCTCCGAGCCTGGGCTCTGTTTTTGTGGCACCTTCTTGGGTCATGAAGCAGCCGTCGTCCAGGCGTGCGCCGCTGGGTTGGGCGCCAGTCCCTTGCCAGGACTCTGGCCTTCCCCCTCCGATGTGTGTCCTTCCGAAGCCACCGGCGAGAAGCAAAACGCGGCAGTGCAAGTGCAGTCAAGCGATGGATCGAACAAGAAACAACGGCACAAACCTGAATTTCCGGAGGTCGGTGCGGACTTCCCAAAGTTTATGCTTGTGCCGTGCTCCAGTCCTCCACTTGGCAGCAGCCCTGCTCTGCCCGACCGACCCGTGCGACCGCCGAGTCTGCGACAAGCAAGTTCAACTCCTGCAGATCAGTGTGGACGTCTTCGGGCGGGGCCAGGGCAAGGACGAGTCCGTTCCAGAGCGTGACGGAGCGCTCTCAGAGCGTCGTGGAACGCTCTGAGAGGGCCGCGGCGCCCGATCCATCCTCCAGAGCCGCCGGATCTCAGAGATTCTCGATCTATCCTCGTCCGAATTTGTCCTCGTCCTTCTACCTGGCTTCGTCTTTTGCGCCTCCCTCGGCCGACACTCCCGCCGTTCTCCCCCCCCCTTGGGCCGCACGCCTCCCCCCCCTGTGCGAGGAGCCCCGCGCACTGGGTGCAGTCCGTGGAGGCTGGCGAGGCCAGCGGCGGATGGGGCTGCGGAGGAGGAGCACTCGCCCCAGACCCCCTCGAGTTAGGACGAAATCACGGCGGAAGGGTTTTCTCAGTCTTCGGCCTCTGGGGGCCCTTCCTGGGCCTCGGGACCGTCAGAAGGCGACTCAGGGTGAAAAGCCGGTCCTGGGGAAGGGGTCGAGACCTCCAGGGTCGACATTCTGAACAAAAACATGACGTTGGGGGTCTGGGGCCCGGACTGCTTGCAGCAGCGTGTCTTGGCAGCCGGCCCACGCGACAGCGGCGAGCTGCTCCTTGCGGCCTCCCCCCCTCGACGGAGGATCGTGCGAGAACCGGCCAGTCCCGCCGCCGCGCACATCTCCATCGCGCTGTTAGGGGGAGGGGGTGAGGCTGGACTGAAGGGGCGGGGGCGCGGCTTGGAGGGGGGGGGGCTTGATCCTCCGAACCGATGTGTTCCCCCCCCGCCCTCCCCTCCCCTCCTCCCCTTCCCCACCCCTCCTCTTGGGATCTGCGCGGTTATGATGAGATAAGCTGACCTGCGCTAAGCCAAGCCTGGATGGGGAAGGGTCATGCGGCCGGACCCTGTGGGTGGGACCTTGCTGGCGACGAAGGTTCAGGAGGAGAAAAAACACACAGACACAATTAATCCTCGATCCCCAGAAAATATGGGAAAGTATGGGAAGTGGGGGGGAAGACAGAAACCCAGAAAATATGGGAAAATGTAGGGACAATGTTTATTTGTGTGTATTTGTTTGTGTGTCCTGGGGCCCTTTCAGATAAGCTGACCTGCGCTAAGCCAAGCCTGGACGGGGAAGGGCCATGCGGCCGGACCCCGTGGGTGGGACCCTGCCGGCGACGAAGGTCGCCCCCTCTTGCAGAAGAGAGGGCCACAGACCCCGTGAGCGGCGGGCTCTTCCTGGTGACGACGGCCATGCCCGGCACACGAGGCGTCGTTCCAGAAAGGGCCTCGCCTTTGAGGTTTGAAGGAGTTGACTCAGGAGGGAAAGAAACACACAGACACAATTAATCCTCGATCCCCAGAAAATATGGGAAAATATGGGAAGTGGGGGGGAAGACAAAAACCCAGAAAATATAAGAAAATATGGGGAATCCGATTATATGTGTGTATTTATTTGTGTGTCCCAGGGCCCCTTCAACATGAGGCGTCGTTCCAGAAAGGGCCTCGCCTCTGAGGTTTGAAGGAGTTGATGTCTCTTTCGGGGTCGGCAAAGAGGGGGGTGATGACTAGGGGGGGGTGGATCATGGCGTGGGCCATGATATCTCCCCAGATTGCATGGCGCCTCTTCTTGTTTCATTACGTCCCTGGCCCCCCCGCTGGGCCGCGCACATGCCGCCGGTCATGATTTGCACCCCCCCCTCTTGGACACCCCTCTCTTGGCCGCTCACGCCTCGCCTTTGAGGTTTGAAGGAGTTGACGTCTCTTCCTCGGCGGAAGGCCGCCGAAGGCCAGCGGAGGGCGACACGCAAAACGAGGCCGCCTCTGCCGGCGGAAGCTCGGCGGGAGCTGGCCGAAGTAAGAGTCGGCCTCCACAGAGATGGCAAGGTTTTTTGGCTCAGGGTTTCCTGAACCTTCCCCATCGGGCCACTTGGGACGGGACCCCATCTGCGGGGGATCCCAGTGGCGACGGCGGCCAACTCTTGCATACCCTGGCGTGCCAGGGCAGCTGCAGGTTAGGGCTCCTGCGAGCGGGGCCGCTTGGGCGGTCGGGACCCCACAGGTTGCGACTGCGAACCCTAAAATTACGCGGCACGTAAGAGCTGGGAAGCCTGCTGTGCAAGCCTGTGCTCCGGCACACACGTTCAAGAACTACATGCTCTGAGCGAGCTCCGCCGCCTGCAGCCTTTCCTCCCTGCGCCCGCGCTCTTCCCTACCCGTTTGTGCCCAATTCGGTCCCGTAGTGTCCTTCGGCTGCCTTCGACCGCGGCGTGGATCTGCGCCGCTGCGACCAAAAAAAGGACGGGCGGGGCAGCCCCGGCACACAGGTCACCTTAATCAGTGCAGGATCTTGTGGTCGTGACCCCATATGCGTCAAGGGCCAACCCCAGCATACAGAGCAACTAAAGGCGGGGCCCCGTGGGTGGGGCCCTGGGAAACGACGGGCCCCACCAGCATATTGGGCAAAAAGGGCAAGGCTGCATGATCAGGGCCGTATGGTCGACGACGAAACAACTTGGTATGCAGACCCCATTTCGTGCACGGGGCAAAACGCACACACCAGCGGCGGCCAAAGCGCGGTGATGGCTGGTCTTCATTTTGCCATTATTCTACGGAAGAGTTCATACGTGGTCATCTCCCACATGAGTTTGTGAACTTTTCCTTTCGGACCTTCCTGGTACAATTGTGGACTTCCTGGACGATGCCACCCCAGACGCACATCGCCATTTATGGAAACGTGCCTATGGCATCAGCGAGCCTCGCGCCCGGGATGGATTCGCGGCTTCTCCACCACAACATCGCTTGTACTATGGGGTTCTTATTTGTCTTGCTAAACGTGTGTGTGTGTGTGTGTGCCGGAGTTTCGCCTGGTTGGTGGTCGCCCGTGGGTGCCTTGTTGGCGCCCCCTGCGCTGGGTGGACCATACAGCTCGCACCACATAGCTTGCACCACATGGATCGCATCACAAAGCTTGCGTCACAAAGCTTCACCACATGAAACACAGCTTGCACAACGTACTTTGCACAGCCTATGTTGCACCATGCGCAGAATGCCTCACATAGCTTGCATCGCATGTCCTGCGCCACGTGTATTGAACCACGCAGCTTTCGCCACAAGACTTGCACAATTCAATTCGCACCACAGAGCCTGCACCACATACTGCATCACAGAGCTTGCACCACATAGCTCGCAACACATCTATTGCATCATGTACAAGACGCTCGGTATAGCTTGCCAAGTATTTGTTCCACATCGAAAGTGCAAGACTCTGTTGTTTGGGTCCCATGTCGATGAAACAGTTTTGTACGACATTCTAAATGCTTCGCGTACCCCCACCAGCCTATCCAGAGACGAGGCCCAGACGAGTTGCCCTGATCAGGGATGTGGAGGAGCATGCAATGGAACATAAGGCTGGGTAAGACGTCGTACCCCAAGAGGGGAGGATGGATGAGGACTTGGAGGCCGAGGACAAGGAGGAGGAGGAGGAGGAGGAGGAGGAGGAGGAGGACCAATGTAAACCCAAGAGACAGCAACGATGTTGGAGTAAACCCTCCTTCCAAACATTTCCTTCACAGGCCCCTACAGCGGTTCATTTCCATTGAGGGAATTGCCTCATTGGAAGGCACCCGTTTGAAGACCCTGAAGCATGCCAAAACATTGTTCTCGGTATTCCAGCGCCACGGATCAACCTGACTGTTGCGTCTTGACGATCTTGCATAGTGCCAGAACGTCATTCTGAGGGCTTGAACACAGAGAAGTAGCCTAACTGTGGCACCCGCGTAATCCTGATTCCTTCCAAGACACCATTTCTGATACTTTGATGATGTGAACCCGTTTTTTTTTTGGGGGCCATATTTATCTATTTATTTATTTGTTTATTATTATTATATATATAACAATATATATATATTTAAATGTTATGTGCTTGTTTGTTGTTGGAACAAAGTAAGACTATAATTTTATGTGTTTGTTAATACATATATATAGATATAATGAAAAATATGCGCCGCGCTAAGGCGAGAGCCACAGTTTGAAAACCACTCGCCCTCAATCCGTGAAACCCTCGCATTTTTTTACCACGGATGTGCGCGGCGCTGAGGGGAGAGCCACATTTTCAAAAGCAGTCGCCCTGAATCCGTGAAGCTCTTGCAAATTTTACAAAAGAATGTGCGCGGCGCTAAGGCGAGAGCCACATTTTGAAAACGACCCGCCTTCAATCCGCGAAACTCTTGCGAATTTAATGCACGAATGTGCGCCGCGCTAAGGCGAGAGCCACATTTTGAAAACCACCCGCCATCCATCTGTGAAGTTGTTGCCAATCTTTGAGCTACAGGATTTTGAATGGTGATGAAGTCTCAGGCGATACGCCCGGCCCGCCCCAAAAACTTGCCTCGGAGTGCGACAGCGAGAAGTTACCCTGAAGGAGAAGGAATGGAGGAGGAGGATGAGGAGGAGGAGGCGGAGGGGGAGGAGGCGGAGGAGGAGGAGGACGATGAGGAGGAGGAGAAAGAGGAGGCGGAGGAGGAGGAGGAGGAAGGGAGGAGGAGGAGGAGGAGGAGGAGGAGGAGGGAGGAGGAGGAGGAGGAGGAGGAGGGAGGAGGGAGGATGAAGGATGATGAAGGGGCGGATGAGGAAGAGGAGGAGAAGGAGGAGGAGGAGGAGGAGGAGGAGGAGGAGGAGGAGGAGGAGGAGGAGGAGGAGGAGGAGGAGGAGGAGGAGGAGGGAGGAGGGAGGAGGAGGAGGAGGAGCAGGACGAGGAGGAGGAATCGGAGGAGGAGGACCAGTGGAAACCCAATAATCATCAACGATGTCGGAATACACCCTTCCTCCAAGCTCTTTCTTCACAGGCCCCTATAACGTTTCATTTCCATTGAGGGAAGTGCCTCGTTGGAAGACAACCCTTTGCAGACCCTACAGCATGCCAAAACAATGTTCTCGGGATTCCAACGCCACGGATCAACCTGATGGTTGCGTCTTGACGATCTCGAATAGTGCCAGGACGCCATTCCTGCGATTTCAACATAACACATGAATGTAACTGTTGCACCCTCATGCTCTTGAACCTTTCCAAACAACAGTTTTGGTATGCTGACCATGGGAACCCGTGAAACTCTTGCACATGTTTAAAACGAATGTGCGCGGAACTAAGGCGATAGCCACCGTTTGAACAGGAGCCGCCCTTAACCCGTGACGCCTTTGCAATTTTTAGAACGAATGTGCGCGGCGCTAGGGTGAGAGCCACATTTTGAAAACGACCCGCCTCCAATCCGTGAAACTCTTGCACTTTTTATTATAATGTGCGCGGCGCTACGGTGAGAGCCACATTTTGA